AAATTGCTGCCGATGCACAGATTGAGGCCAGCACCCAGCTCTGCCGGGGCACCTGGGCAGATGCCACCCCACCACCGAGCCCGGTGCATAACTGTGTCCTGTACTGTCCTAACACCATGGGAGATGTAAACCTGTTCCTCATTGGGTCCACACTCTGCATTGATCTGGAGAATTCCATGCAGTATACATATATATATTCATAGGAGCTTATTACGCATCCCTCGTTGCCTGTTTTTGGTTCAGCCTGCAGCACAGTGCTCGTGCACGGGAGGGTACTCACGGGAATCGTTTGAGATGCAGATAGTAACATGTGTGTTTGGTTTAAAAGGATGGAGGGGCAGTTCCTGTAAGTGTGTGTGAAGACAGAGTGATCATTAATACAAGTTTACCAGCCCTGTAACGGTGGGTTTCTCTTTGCCATTGGACTTAATTCCTCTGTAATTATGTTCCTAATATAGAAATCACCTGGCATTTATTTGCCATAATAAAACTTCCCATTACATTTAAATTCAATGTGAAGATTTAAGTGTATTTAGGAGACTCAGCTGAAGACCTGAAATTAAATATTGCTGGTTTCCTTTGCCAAACAAGACAAACTCAGATAAATACTAGCAGTCAGATCTGTGTGTGCAGCTACTCCCGTGAGCAGTGGCAGCTGCATGTGCCTACCCAGAGAAAGATGGTGGCCCTCGCGTTGTGGGTGACTCTTTCAGCTTCCACTGCCTTTCTCTGGCCTGGGGCAGTGGTCCGGTGGGTGATGCTAATGACTGATGCTACTTTGTACACCTGAGCAGGGAAAACACTCAGCTGGGCAAAAACTGCAGGCGTTAAGATCACCATCAGCCATCCCAGTTTGCTGTACAGCTTGCCCTGGTTTTCAAAATGTTTGCTTTAGTAGTTGTGGTAGAAGGATGTTGCTGACATGGCTCTTCCCAGCTGAGCTGGTGCTCAGGAAAAGCCCAGGCAGAAGACGTAGATCAGCACAGCTGGAGCTGGGAGACCCCAGAAGACTATGTCCTAGCCCAGTGACCATCATCCCCAGCCCTGCTGTTCTCAAAGGAGACCGGGTGGGCAAATATATATTGCTATAGTTAAAAGGACAGGCCTGGCAAGCACATCCCATGACCACCTGCTGGTGGGTGAGCAGCTGCAACTTTGGTAGCAATGTGCGGATGGGCTCCCAGCGCTGACAAATGACAGATAAAATGGCCAGGCGAAACACTGACACCAGCACACAACAGGGGTGATGCTGCTCCTGACGTCATTATTTTCTCCCTAGATATACTGAGCATCAGAAGTGTGCACTGGCAATATTTTTTTTTCTCCATGCTTTCTCAGAACTCCTCCCAGTAGCCTTAAAATAGCAGGGCCCGGATAATCATTAACCACTTTGACGTATTCCAACGGGCACAGATTGGGAATTCATAAGGAGAGGACAGAGCTGGAACAGAGCCTCACGCCCGGTTCGTCTCCAGCAGTTTTATCCTTGTCAGGGCAAAGCCAGTTCAGCCTGACCTTGTCACTGCTGCTCCTAGAGACAAGCTCCCATCACATCCAAAAATAGGGAAGAATATTATACGTAACTGCTTAATATATCACTCTTCCCATAAGTAGGGAAGAGTAATAATATATAGGGAAGAGTATTTGATCCATATGTTGAGAGGGTTATGGCTGAAGCCAGAGCCACCCTTCCTTTTTTGTTACCTCTGGTTTTCCACCTTTGACATGAACCCTCATTCAGACTTGGATAACAACAACAAGAAAAAAAGGCAGGTGCCCCGAGTCCTAAGCCCACTGGGTTGTTTCAGGGGAACAAGATGGTACTGAGTAACCTGAGGATGAAGCTTGCAGCCAGGGAGCATTTCTCCACTAGTTGCTGATAAAGCAGAAATGCTGCTTAGGCTGATCCAAGGGATGGGTTGTAAATCTACAAAAGAAGATTGCAAAAATGCGTGTTGGGACGTAGACCCTTCAAAGGGTCTTTGGAGAGCAGTCCCCAAAGGGAATTGGTAGGAACGCTGTTGTTTGAAGCACTGGAGAATATGTTGTGCAGAGCTGACTGCTACAAACTTACAGAAACGGGAGTGGGGATTTAATTTCCATCCCTAAATGCTGTGATCTGCACCTCATTTTGGGCTTGCTTTTGTGTGCACGTAGCTTTTAGCAGAGGTCTCTGTACAGCGAATCCTTCATGTGTGTCACAGCCGATGGACTGTTCCTGAGCTCACTGTGCAGCCAGCACTGAGACTCCGTCTCCTTTGCTGTACAAAGGATTTATTCCTTTAATATGCCCCTGGTGTTTATTTTTCTGCTGGTACAGGAGTGCGTGTGTGCATGTGGCAGTGTTTTACAAATGCCTGCTGTGGACAGAATTGGGCTTCACAGTATGCAAAAATAGCTGTGCACCACACACAAGGATATAATATTTCACACGACTGGAGAAAATGTGATAAATCAGGTTTTTGCTGGATTTGCAAAAATCAAGAAACTGGGGGATTCATCTCCACAGTTGAGTCCTGAACTCTTGCAGGAGCTGGCAGGACTGTCTGGGTTGGAGTGTCCCAATTAGGGAAGGGGGATTGGGTCCCCATGGCGGGGTGGGACATCTATGAACATCTCTTGGCTCTGAAGAGACAAGCTCAGATTTTGTAGACTCATTTATTACAGAGCACAAGAAGCCAACGTGAGTTCAGACTGCAGCTACAGCTTTTTTCCTCTGCCTTTGCCTGGAGGTCGTTGCTCTTAAGTTCCTGCTCCGTTCTGCTCCGTTCCTGATCCCTCATCACCAGTGCCTCCAGCTGCTCGTTAGACAAAACCCAGGTCCCTCACTTGGCCTTTGAGCCCTGCAGGAGACATTGGTGTGTGGTGAGGTGGAAAGACAGGGAGGTTGTAGAGCTGGGAGGTTTCTGCCTTACGTGTTTGGTGCTGGGATCACACTTGTGTGCTGAGGAGTGAAGCTGTTGAGAAAATAAAGCACCAGGGTGTGAGATGAGGAGAGTAGACCAGAGGCTCAGAGCAGTGGTCCTTGTAGCTATGGGTGTGGTAGACGTTTGGCGAATGGGGGAGTGAAGGAGCTGTGCTGAGCCCTGATCTCTCCCCTTTTCCATCCTGGCTGGCAGTATGTGCTCATGCGGGTTCCTTATCACACTTGTGCTTTACCACCCCAGTCCCAGCAAGGGGCACAAATGTGCACAGACGAACCCGAGCCCCTCAAACTGCACCTCACACGGGGAGTTTGGATGCCAAATGTCAGTGCTCTTTCTCACCCACACCTTCCTCCCATCTAATCTTCCCTGCTTCCCTTCTCCTGGCTTGTCCTGTTGCACCTTTCCAGGTGAAAGAGGTCCATGGATCCTACAACCCTCCTTGCTCCCCCTCTCCCTTTGCATCCCCTCCAGTGTGCAGTGAAAACCAGTGACAGGTAGAGCTGAGCCTGGTTTTGTAATGTAAACAGTTATTTACAGTTTTGCTAAAATTTCATGGAAGATGACATTTTTAGGTCACCTCGCTGAAGCAAATGAAATGATTAACATGTTTGCATTAGGTTTCATAAAAAAAAGTATCACTCTTGCCCTGTGTGGTGCTCAGTTCCTCAGGTTCTGAGACCTGACGCGGTACCCTGAAAGCTAAGGCAGTTTCCCACCAGGGTTAGCAAGAGCAGGGTCTGGTTTCCTAACACAAGGCAGCTGGGATGGATGTCTTTTGCTGTGTCCAGCAGCCTCAGACACCAGACTGTGTCATCCTGGTGCTCCATCAGTAGTAATGATGGGGCTGATCTGGGGTTTTAAGGGGAAATATCCTCTCCCCAACACTGAAAGTACAATGGCAGCCTTCCCCATTCTGCCTTTAAAAGCTTTTAAATCATGGAGCACACCTAAATACACAATTGGGACCTGTATTGCAGCTTGTAAATACTAAAAGGTGGGGAGTAAAATGTAATGGCTCTGTTCTTCCCTAAATAAGTGATGGTAAATGACTGTAAAGTGAGCTCCTGAGCTTGTGTGTGCAGGGGGGAATTTAGTCCCATGGTGAACAGGACTGAGTCAGAATAATACTGAGGTTTCCTGGATACCCCTGGTTAAAGCTGCACCAGAAACAAGGGAACAAGCCAGGAGGATCAGTGTTTCAGCCACCGCTCATAAATGTCTGTGTGTCACAAGCTGGGACGCAATTTGTTCTCCGCCGTGCTTGCTTCTAGGGTGAAAATAGCCAGCGCTACAGACTGTCCATCAGTGTGACTCACTTTTGGGACAGACTGTCTGGGGGAAGTGGACGGGGAGGTGTGTGAAATTTGAGGACCTTTTCCCTGCTGGGCTATGGGTACACAAAGACCTGGACCCACAGCACACACCTGCCACCCATGGTCATGTTTGTCCCTCTTGGTCCAGGAGCACTGGGATGGAGACACCTGCGTCTAGCGCTGCAGACGCCCACAGCCTGGCAGGTCCTGCGAGGTACCGCATGGCGCTGGGCTCAGTCCAGCTCCCAGAGAGGAGCGGCACCTCCACGGCTGGCACTAGCCAGCCTGCCCAGAAAGTCCAAGGGCTGCCGAGTCCGTGCTCCCCCTCCTGCCCGGATGGGCTCGAGGAAGCCGGCCCTGGGCTGAGCGGGACATCAGCCCGCAGCAGAGGCTGTCTTGCAGCTACCCCCATCGCCAGCCTCGCTTTCTAAAACAGGTGGCAGAGAGGCAGAAACCTGAGCAGTGAAACAGTGGCAGCTGGTTGCCAACAGAGCTGCATCCCCTGACTGTGGACTAGCATGGGTCCTCTGGCGTCTAGTAAGAGTTGTGCTCATCTAATTTTTCCTTCAGCAGCGATATTAGGCACCTCTTATCTACCCAGCTGTATCTTTCCACAAAAAAAAAAAAAAAGTAGGACCCAAGTATTTGAAACTGTTACATCCCTCTCAAGCTCTGTTCACATCAGCCAAGAATTATTAGAGGGGAAAACAGATGGAGGCAGCGTGATTACCCAAGCCAAACCAGGTGCTGCTGCTGTGCCATGCCGTGCCTGTGGGAGGAGGGGAGCCTCGCTGATGCTGTCTCTCTTTTTCAGGGGGAGTTGCTGAGCCCGTGTCGATGCGATGGATCGGTGAAGTGCACGCACCAGCCATGTCTGATCAAATGGATTAGCGAGAGAGGCTGCTGGAGCTGTGAGCTGTGTTACTACAAGTATCACGTCATTGCCATAAGCACAAAGAACCCTCTGCAGGTAAAGGTACTAGAGACATTTCAAAGTCTATTTATTCTTGTTTCTGTTTTTGTTTCTGGGAGCAAGTGGATTTTACCCACGTGGGTTTTTCTTTCCGGCGCACAGTGATCCGTGTATCTGAGACACTTAGAAAGAGTTGTTGGGGTCTGGTCCAAAGAGGCCCCATGTTCTGCTCGGTGGTACCGGAGGTATCCCTCAGGAGCCCGCTCTTTCTGTGCTTTGACAATTCCCACGCTCACTGTTGCCTCCTGTTTAAAATGCCAGTGTGACCACAATAGTGCTGTATCACCTCACAGTCCTTCAAATGTGTTCATCCACTGGAGACCGCAGGTATGCCACTGTCCCCAGAGACAGATGGGGACGGAGCAGTTACAGGATTTGCTACAACAGAGCACACAGTCTGTGACAGAGCAGTATCTTGAGACTCCGCATGTCTATAGTTGTGCCATTAACCGCAACCCCCTCCTACTGAGCCTCTTCTGTGTTGGCATGAGGGGTGAGGGAGGTGGATGGAGGGCTCTTACAGCTCTCCTCTCTGATCCTGCCACCCTTTTCACTTTACTGCTCCCCCGTGATCAAATATAGCCTGGCATGGCAGACGGGGTGTTGTCTGTGGTGATCTGGTCTCTCCAACCCTGATTCTCAGTGGACATTTTGCAGGTGTACACGCAACAGGTAAAGCACATGTTGATGTAAGTGACTGTGAAAGGCATCAGAGGACCCGCCTTCTTCCTCTTCCAAGTTCAAAAGCACGGTGCTTCAATAAGCCCTACTGCTGGCTGGTAATTTAAAATCAAGATGCAGAATGGGGAAAACTGTGGCTGTTAAAAAATGGGATAAGTTATACTTAATAGTTATTGAGGGGCAACACCTGAAGATGGACTAATTGGTACTACTAATTGCTGAGCACCATTAGTGCCGTGGATGTAAGGAAGCACATTAGATCCAGGCAGTACTGCTTAATTAGCATCATCTGGACTGGAGAGACATTACAGCAGCATGCTGTGGTTTAGAGACTAAGGCAATGTCTGTAAGGATGTTGGTCTGTCCAGCACCTGATGGAAGGCTTTTGGTCTCTACTGGTCGGTCTGCTCTCTAATACGAGGCAGAGACTTTGCTAGCATGGGGGCAGGTGGAATGCAAAGTCCTGCTCTCTCCTCCAAACTGCAGTCTCTGTGTGTCTATTTCCAGGTCACTAACAACAGTGAGGAAACAGGGACAGCCCTTTAGGACTCCAGACTTAAACAAAGTAGTGAAATTAGTGGGGCATCATGGGGAAATTCTGCTGGGGGGAAGAAAAAATCCTGCCTGCTCTCTGCAAGTCCCTGCAGCTTCGGATTCAATTTTCCATGTGCCGTGGGCTGGAGAGATCAGTAGTTGCATCCCAAGGTTTCATCCCAGACCCAGGGTGTTTTAATTTCTTGGCTCTAGTAACTCAGAGCAGATTGAAGCACAGGAGGGGAGATGTGGACAAAGCAGTGTTTGTTTATTTCTGGAAAGCTGGTCCATGAGTGCCCTAATGCTTCCTGTGCCTCAGATGGGGGGTGCGATGCTGAGCAGCGTTGGGGGTTTGTGGGTGCAGGTTTACAAGCGTGCATATAGCCAGCACTGCCTTCAGGGAATGACCTCCAAATGCTCTATGCCTTCAGGTGGCTCAGAGCAACGGGTCAGTGACTTTCCTCATGCTCCTCACTCGGCTAAAATTTATTGGAGCTATTCACAAGCAAGCTCCCCTCCCACACACGCATTCAGAAGCCTGCGCAAAGGACTGCTCTTTTGGGGCTCTTTTTGTTAGAAAGCGGCCTGATCTGCCGGCCTTTGCCACGAACACAAAAACTGAGTGGCAGGAGCAACTGAGTTAGAGAGCTCAGCTCCGGGAGTGAAGGTCCCAGAGGACCGTGCAGACCCCGGGCTCGGAGGCTTCACATCACTGGTATAGACTTCACAGCGCTTCTCACAGAAGCACAGGGAGATTTGGAGGGTAGGAAGAAGCAACTAGAGTGAAAAGTCACTTGGTCTGGAATAAATGCGGCGTGCGTGGAGTTACAGATCCATGCCCGGGCACCCTCTCTTGTGCCAGCACAAAGGCACTTCTGGGAAGCAGATGCCACACTAGCATTAGCATGTGAAATCCCATGGGAAGTGGCTGATGTACCAGGCCTGGACTTCCCACAAGGACTAAGGGCTCAGCCCCCCTACCCCATCACCACTCACACCACCGGGGTTTCCCTATTTCCTCCGTGGCTCTTGCCGTCCTCCAGCACTGGGAAAGGGAGGCAGAGGACCAAAGGGCTGCAGTGCCCTGACATAGTGTGCCATAACAATGTGCCAAAGGATGTGCAGGTGGGAAGAGCATCCTTTCTGCTCGGTCTTCACCCCACACGTGGACAGCAGGAGCCACACAGCATGTCTCTAAGTAAAGCAATAGTCCCTGGCCTTTCTTCTCAGGGTCTGCTGCCACTTCTGCCCAGCTTTATTCTTAGAAGGAAGCTCTGAATTTCTTAAGCAGAGGATTTGGAGGGCAAATGCTGTAGGAAATCATGGTCGTCTGTTTATTCCAGACCAACCGTAATACTGGCAAGGACCACACAAACCTCACCTCCTTGTCAAATGAAACCTGTTTGGGTGATGCTCTGAGCCTGGCTAGATTTTAACCAGCAACATGTCCTACCTATCCCCTGTGTCCTCTCATGTGACAGACCACTGGAAAGCCAAACCCAGGCAGCTGGCAGGCCCTGGGCTCCCTGAACCAATTGGTCCAAGCAGAGCAGCACACCCAGCACCCACATGTTCCCCAGCATCTGCATGTTTCTCTGCCCATTTTGACATCTGCTGCACATTTTTTGGAGCGCCTAGGAGCACAGCACGGGCCAGATGTGCATGGAGACTCGTGGTGTGGGCGGAGTAGTTACAGCCAGGGGAACACGGTTCATGTATAATTAACACAGACTCCTTCCAGCCTCCAGTCTGTTATGATGTCTCTTACCAAAGAGACGCCTTTAGTCTGATATTTTGGCAGAATGAATCTCTATAAATTAACGCACCCCCCATCCCTGGATTGCAGGCATTTAAGAGAAAAGGTGTTAAAGCAGCAACACTACAAACCTGCTGAGACTGGGGGATTAAAGTTGTTGGACAACATGGCAAGTGTCCTGCCAAGCAACAGTCACACAGCAAATGAGCAAAAATATCCCCCCAGCTGTAAGCAACCAGAAGATCCAGAGCTTTTGTCCATCCATCCATCCATCCATCCATCCATCCATCCATCTATCCATCCATCCATCCATCCTCCTGCTCTCCAGTCTGCCAGTCACTGAGACAGGAGTCATGGGCATGGAGGCTTTAAATGCTCCTCTCCATTGCAATATTTGTGCAAAGCCCATGACTTTAAAAATGCCCTGAAGACTCAGGGTTCTGATAGCACTGCAGGTGCTCTGGTGCTGATACACAGTGGAGTAGGTACCCACCGTGATGGGACTCTGCAGTGGATCTCATCTATAAGCTCCTTTGTAGCCGCTCCTGAGCCTGGTTCACTCTGATGCTCTGATTTTAGCAAATACAACATCCATTTGAACCAGCCTTCCCAGACCCAGTCTGTGGTGTCAGGGAGTTCAACTCTGCTTTACAGCTGTTATCTCTGACTCTTAGTGTCTTGTGGGTTGTTTCAGCTCCAAAGATCCTCAGTTATCCAGTGCCGGGGTTGGGATCTGATCCTAGTTCTCCTCTGGCTCTATTTTGACTGTGGTGATGCTCTGTTAAGAGCTGATGAGCATTTGTTTGCATGGCCTCTTCATCAGAATTCCCACATCTGCAAGAAGTGGCTGAGGTCTGAGGGTGTTTAAACTTCAGCTTGAGCTCCTGAGCGAAAAACTTTGAGACAAGTTCACTGGGGTCTCCTGTTTGTCCCAACTTGCTGTTGTGTTGAGTATGAGCCTTGGCTGGTCCCTGCTGAGCTCCAGCTCCAGCTGCAGCCTGCAAGCAACGTGTGCAGTCACAGCAAGAGAGACTTCATGGCCTGTGCCTTATAACGGAGGCTTTCCAGGATAGCTTGAGTCTTACCAGATGCTCCAGCACACAGAGCAGAGGGGGTTTCCTCATGGCACATTTCCATTACACAGCCCTAGTGGACCTTCCTTCCTCCTTGCTTCCTTTCCAGTATCTGAATAAGCCACAGCATCTGTAAACACACAGTAGGGAAGCTACCACGGCGGTGGCATAAATTTGTTCGGTGAATTTATAAAAAGAAAAGCCATCCTCCAAAAGATAATTGATGAGGATGGCCAGGGCCTTAGGACAGGAGAGAGGGGAGAGCCAGACCTAAGCAGTGCTGGGAATGGTCCACTCCACCCGTCTAGGAAAAACCTCTGCTCACTTGTGATCCTGGGTCTGAAAATTAAATTGCTGACTAGCGCAGCTCAGGTTGTTAATGATACGTACTAAGGGGACGTGTCAGATACAGCAATAAAAATAAACCGAACTGCCTGAGGCAGGCATGGGGGAGCTCTCAGAGGAGTGTAGGAAGGCTTTTCCAGTGAGCAAGTCTTCTTAGCAAGCTGCTGCAGTAAGACAGAGATCTCTTCTGCAGGCAAATACCTGCCTGGGATCTGCTCATGCTGGTGCTTGGGAACATTTGGAGACCGCTGGTGCCAAAGAAAGGGAAATACGGATCAGGCCTTAAATACTATAGTAATGAGATTATTAATCAGTGTTACATTAGCAATGTGGGGGTTGCACTCACAAGCCTCAGAGCAGAAGCACTGAAGCAAACAGGGAAACAGGTTTGTCCCAAGTACAGCACGTAGGTTATCAAACAGTGCAAGAGAACAAATGTGACAGAACTGGCAGGCACCGATCCCAGCTTGGCCCCTGGCTAGGGCCATCACAAACGGTGGACCTGGGCTCCTAAGAAACCCTTGCTGAGACATCTGGGTCACAGAGCTTTGCAATTTTGGGAAATTGGAGAAACTTGGGGAAAATTAGTCCAAGAGAGCATGGTGTTTTGCACGTGCACATCTGCGTGGTATGCCAAAGAACTCAGCCAGGGGGGTGGTAGCAGAGGACGGACAGACAGCTCCTGAGTGAAGGAGGACATTTCTTCAGAATGGTCTGGAGCGCTGGAGCCCTTTTTCCAGCCCGGGTTGCAAGCCATCTGTCATGGCTTCAGCTGGGATAGAGTTAACTTTCTTACTAGCAGCTGGCATAGTGCTATGTTTTGGATTTGGGATGAAAATAGTGTTGGTAAAACACTGATGGTTTTGGTTGCTGCTAAGCAGTCAAGGCCTTTTCTGCTCTGCATACAGCTCCGCCAGCGAGCAGGCTGGAGGTGCACAAGGAGTTGGGAGGGGACCCAGCTGGGACAGCGGACCCCAACTGACCAAAGGGATATTCCATGCCATATGTCATGCTCAGTATATAAAGCTGGAGGAAGAAAAAGGAAGGGGAGGATGTTCAGAGTGATGGGATTTGTCTTCCCAAGTAACCGCTACGTGTGATGGGGCCCTGCTTTCCTGGGGATGGCTGAACACCTGTCTGCCCATGGGAAGTGGTGAATTAATTCCTTGTTTTGCTCTACTTGTACGCATGGCGTTTGCTTTACCTATTAAACTGCCTTTCTCTCAACCCACAAGTTTTTTCACTTTTACTTTTCTGATTCTCTTCCCCATCCCAGCCTGGGGAAGGGAGCGAGCGGCTCCGTGGTCCTAGTTGCCAGCTGGGGATAAACCACAACACCATCGCAGAGAGATGCTTGGGCGTGCTCTGAAGCCATCCTAAGCCCAGGGCTCACAAAGGTGCTCCTGTTATCCTGCAGGAGCCTTTAAAGCTTTCTGGCACCACAAAGTCCTTAGTTCTGCCCTGTTCAGTGCTGGCAGAGCATCTGTAGAGCTTTCTACCCACCTAAAGGTCACATTCCTGATTGGCAACCTGTGTGAGCTGATGGTTGTTAAAGGTGCACTTCAGTACAGCTCGGTGGCTACCTGGGACTCAGCAGTCATTATCAGCTGAGGAAAGAAAGGCTCGGTTTTAGGTGTCTCCCCACAAGGTGGGATTGCTTGACACTGTGACCTTGCTAGAGCTTGAACGTTTGAGCTGGAGATTTGGAGGGAGTGGGCTGTGTCTGCAGCCAGGGATTCAGACGAAGAGCTTTGGGGGTTTCAGACATGCTGGTAAAGGGTCTCTGCAAGCGTTGCTGAGACCTTTCTTTGCAGCTCTAGTGGTGACTCGAGGACAACAAGGTCACCCACCAAATCCTTGGTCTGCTGGCCATAATGATGGTGGAGTGGGGTTAGGAAAGCAGATGATTTTCTAAGGGCTGTTACGAAATCTGAGAGGTCCAATGCTGTGATTAAGGCAGGCTCCTGAGGCCAGCGGTGCAGGGACACATCCGGCCCAGCTCCTGCAGCTGAAATTCATCAGCACATTCCACCTCTGAACAGCTCTTGGACCCTTCTGTCTGTGCTGTCACTGGATAACATGCTTTATCTTCTGTCTCACCCCTTTTCTTCTCTCTCTGCAAACCTCATACCATAAGATGCGTAGCAAAATGGAATTAAAAGCTTGAAAATAATTACTCCAGTTATTGGTGGCTCAAGCTAGATGTGGGATGCTAAATTGCAGTTCTTAGGGTTGCCAGAGAGGAAATACAACATTTATTACTTACTTTCTTTTTTTTTTTTTCTTGAAAATATTAAATTCTTCTGCAAGCTGGTTATTTTCCCCAGTGTTCAGCTCTGACCCATTTACCTCCTTGCCAGAGGGTAATCACACCCCAGTGCCACCTCCTGAACAGAGTCAGGACTGCTGCTGCGTGTGTCTCTGTCACTTAGTGCCAGATGCCGGGGGAGAGTCTCCTACCCCCTGGCACGACTGATAGACTCCTGCCTCTTCATTATCGCCGCAGCAAGCTTCCCGGCAGCTGCTGCCAGCTGAGCAGCGTCAGGCAGCATCCCTGCCTGTGCTTCAGCCTTTCTGTTCCCAACCGAAGGGAGCGGGGTTTGAAGACTGCACTCGGGTGTAACTTCCCTGTGCTCTGAGCTCCGTCCCCTCTAACAGTGTATGCATACTGCACCTAAGCCTCCTTGTCTCTGCAAAGCAGTGGTGCTGCTTGTACGTGGCTGCTGGCTGTAGAAAACAGCTCCTTCTTCTTTTTCTGTCTTTAATTGCTACCTTGGAAGGACCTGTTGCCACCACAGGCCTTCCTGTGCGCCAGACAGATGGTGAGGAGCCAGTCCATTACCTCCTCGGGAGAGAGAAATGATGCAGAATGATTTGGCTGGCACAGGCGCACGCGGGTCAGCGCGAGGGACCTGCAGTCAAACCTTCACACGCAGCATCGGGCTGTGCACCGGGCTCCCTGCGCTCCCATCCCCTCCGCGTTTGCCATAGTCGGTGGAAGGGGAGAGGAGGTCTGGGGGAAGCTGCAGGGGTTAAAGTGCAACCCCACACACTTACCCAACTCCCCCCTGCCACGGGCCTCTAGTCCTGGAGCTGTGAGCTGATGGCATTGGTTGTGGATTTGTCCTGCGTCTGCTTATGTTGCTGTAGAGGATAAAGCTGAAGAGCTGAGGGGAAGGCAGCATAGCTGCTGATCCCACCCTCGGAACCCAGATTTTGGGATGACGGGTGCTGGGATGTCTGTTGCCCCCTCTTAACTCTGAGGGGGGGACTAACTCTTTGCTCTGTCTTATGAGGGGAGAGGAGTGACACAGCACTGCGTCTCCTGTGGACTCCAGCACCCCTTGACCCTCCGGTTGTGACTGGCACCACCAAGCTCCCAGCCCTCAGAGGAGGGCAGTTTGCTACCTCAGCTTCTTCATGGCACAAAGGGGCCACTGGTAGAGCTGGATTTGGTGGTGGCATGGAGCAGGATGGGCTATGGCAGAGTGGGAAGGGGCTGTTGAAGAGATCACTGAGTGTCCCCAGCGCTCGGTGTTCACCTTTGGCTGGGCCAGCTACTGGAGCGGAGGGCAGGAAGGAGACTTGGGTGAGCTGAGCACAGTCCTGCCTCAGCGGGGAATGGATTCTCCTCTGTTCACCAGCTTTATGGCCATCTACTTTGTGGCCAACTATGAAACAAGCTGGTACCACCCACCTCACTGATGCCGCACCTCCCTGACATATGATTTGAGGACTCTCTGCCCTTGCAGGACGTAAGCCAAGGAGCAAGGCTGGCAGAGGTAGACACTTCAGCTCACCTCTGAGCCAAGACAGGCAATCTTGTCCAGTTGCAACCCACAGACCTCAGCCTCAGGCTGAAGCTTTTGTCTGTTCCTCTCCAAAAACAGCCCTTTGCAGGGGAGCACATTCATTTCAGGAATTTGGTCATTTGACTGGTACCAATGCCGTGCATGCCTGTACCAGCACAAGTCACCTGTTGCTCTTCTTGCCCTTCAGCCAGGGTTCAAAGTCCTCCCTACCTCCTAAAAATCACTGGTAACTCCTGGCTGACCTGGTGATTAGAGGGACCCAGCAACTGAACTGCCTTCTTGCGCTGCAAAAGGATGGGACAAGGCTTGACAAGTGACCCTCATGTCCCAGGATATGTTTGATAAATGGGCAGGGTGCTGAGGGCTCGCCAGAGATGCCACCTCACAGGCACATTGGGCTGAATCCAGACTAAACATTTTCAATTCCTCTGAGTCCTCTATACCTGCAGGAGGCTGAAGTCCGCCTTTATTTATCCTTCTGCCAGTCCCACTGAGATTTCAAGGCCATGTATCTCACAGCTAAAGGTGGCCTATATACTTCGATGCCAGGAGAGACTGTCTCTCCCCGGCCTCTTTATGTGTTTGATTTCTGATTTGCAGGAGGGGCTATGGACCACGTCCCCACATCTTGTTAAAAAAAGCAATTTCCGCTCTTGGTTTTTGCAGGGCAGTTCTCTCAGCGGTGTAAATCTGAGTAGGGAGGTTTTATGCTGGATGACAGAGAGGAATCCAGGCTTAGGATATTTATACTGTAGCTTATACAAAGCTATTTGACATAGTGAATGGATTTGGGGGAGTTATTTCTATTTTTTTCTTCTTCTGAGGAAGAAGCATTGGCGTTTACCTTGGAACACAGCCTGAACGTGTCATCACCTAAAGGCAGGGTGTCCTGACCACAGCAACTTGTGTTGTTTGTAACAAGTTTTGTGGGATGTGCGTTGCTGCTGCGAGATCCTACCTAGTGCTGTGATCCTGTCAGATCTCACAAAGTGGCACAGAGCCAGCTCATGGGAGGCCTCCGAAGGAAAGCTTGGCTCTCTGAGATACTTCTTCTCATGGTAATAGGACGTCCTGGCCAAGGCTGCTGCCTGGCCTCTATCTCAGGCAGCAACTGAATGTCCTGGTTTGTGGTGGCCATCACAGACCTACGGTCACAGGGATGTTATTCTTGGTGTCTTGCCCCTGGTCCATCCTGCCCCCCTCAGGTCTCTCTGCTTTCCTGGTGAGATGTAGGATTCTTCCCCAATGCCTCTTCAGCAATGCTGTCAGGAAAAATGGGGCTATGCACTGTTCAACAGCTGCCATGCTCCACCCCAGATGCGGACCAGGTAAAAGCATCTGTGCTCATAGGTGCTCTTTAAAATCTCCAAAACCACCACGATGATGTAAAACAGTGATGTGCCCCAACTAACTAATCTCTTCTCTTTTTCCTTCCTCCCTCCCCCTTGTCCCCTCTCCTCTCCCCATTGCCTCCCCTTGCAGTGGCAGGCCATCTCTCTGACAGTCATTGAGAAGGTCCAGATAGCAGCAGCCATCCTGGGTTCCCTCTTCCTCATCGCCAGTATCTCGTGGCTCATCTGGTCGACCTTCAGTCCTTCAGCCAAATGGCAGCGCCAGGACCTGCTCTTCCAGATCTGCTATGGAATGTACGGCTTCATGGACATTGTCTGTATAGGTGGGTGATCGTATCTCACAGCACGGCCAAGGTCACCTGCTCGCTCACCCGCGGAGAGGAGAGGGAAATGGTGTGGAGAGCCAGCCAGTACAGCTCGGCTCAAATTGAGCCTCCGTGGCTTTCCCTCCTCTTTGCTTTCACAGCACCTTTTTTACAGTTCTCTGCTCTCCTGGGCAGCCCCAGAGTGCCTCCTTGGCTGGGCTGGCAGAGGGACCTGCAGCAACCCCAAAGAGAAACAACACTCTCTTCAGGGCAAGAAGAGGGTGGGGAGATCTGGGGGAGGCTGGGGAGTGTAAGGCTTTTGAGAAACTCCTCCCTTTCTGGAACAGCTAATTTAGGCACTGCCCCATGGTTGGGTATGGTAGGGTCTGTCCGCATGCAACTCCTTGGCTCTCCAGCTCCTGCTGGGCAGGGGTGGCTGCCTCTGCTTTGACGCATCCTGGAGCTGCCATTCCCAACCAGCCCAGGTCATGGCCCAGCCTGGGGTCCTTGTCAGGTTGCTGGTACAGAGCGGCTCTGAGGACGAAGCTGCCCCACACGGAGCAAGCCCAGACAGCAAAGCAGATACTGGCAGCCTGGCCCCAGCAGGGTGTCCCTGAGAGCTCGAGCTGTATCTCCAGTGCAGGTCTGCAGGATGAGGGAACGTAGCTGATGATATCTATGGGCAGAGGAACTCACCAGCCACCTCCGAACATGCTCCCGAGCAGTGTCCACCCAAGCACAGGCCACCAGATCCCATAAGTTCAGGTGACACCGCCAGGAAATAAAGAGGGTCGCAGAGAGCTCTTCATGTCTGGGTCCTTCCGTCACTGGTATAAAGGCAGAAGGAGCTTCCCAGAAACTCAGCAGGACAAGGCAGTCCTCTTGACTTGGTGGATATGTGTTTATGTGGGTAGAGCCACTCCAGAGGGAAGGAGCACAGCCCTCAGGAGCAGCAGGACAGACATTATCACAGAGCAGCAGTTGGTGAAATTTGGGTAAAACAAACCCAGCGGCAGGGACCCTCATTCAAACGGCTCTTGGCTTCAGCACCCTTCCAGCACAGGACTTGGGCCTGCCAAAACCCAGGCCAGATCTTCCCACTGTTGCCACCACTATGCTGACAACAATATGTGAGCTTGGTCTGTAGAGATCATCCTGCTCCTTCATGAGATGCTGGTGGAGCTACCATGTCTCCCCAGGAACAAAGGGTGGCAAAGGGTGTGGAAGAGAGACAGGCAGCCGCCACATGTCAGCACAATAGCCACTGGTGACATCCTTTTTGCTGGTAGAATTGGGAGTGGAAAAAAATGATCCCTGCATGTGTATGGTGTGCGTTTGTGTCGCCTTTTTGGCAGAGGACAGAAGTGGAGAGCCCTGGCCTGGGCAGACATCAGTAACGTGATTAACTGACTTTGATAAAGCTTTGGGAGCTGAGGGGAACTGATTAGCTCATCTGTCAATAGGAGCTAAATCCTCCCACACGGCGGAGAGCAAACTATGCCAGCCATGAACTGAAGGGCAACTGGGCAGACAGATTCAGATTTGAGGTTCTTCGCTTCTTTCTTACTAATTTTTTTAATGGTCTGGCCTCTATTTCTCTTTTGCTTAATGCCCTGAGCTAGGAGCTCTGAGTTTTTTAGGCCAAAGAGCAAGCGGCCATCCTGTTCCCAGGAACGTTTCAGAGTCGTGGCCTTGGCCAGCCCCTTGTCTCATGGTCCTCCCTGCACAGCTGCCGGTTCTGGTGGGTCAGGCATGCTGGCTTTCCCACAAACTCAAAACCAAGTGGGAAGCGTTACAGATGCAGTGAGTTAACGTGTGTCTATGTGGCTTCTCTTTGCCCAGCACCTCAGAGACTACCCAGAGATGTCTCCACTTGTGCTGTGTGCAGCACGTCTGCCCGTGCTGCCAGGCAGCCGACCCGTGCTCGACCAGGAGAGATGATATTCTGGACCATGTGAGCCTTTGTATACATTTCCCTAGAAAAGCTCATACGTGCGTGCAGCCAGCCCTCTGCCCCTGCCACGCTCCAGCGTAAAACTTGCTTGTATTGTGCATCAATACCCTTTGCAATCCCGGCTGCTGCTGCTGCCGCGTCTGCGGTGGAGGGGAAGGGAGCTCTGAGCAGTGCGAGCTGAGATCTGGTGTTCACTCTCCTCCCCGCCTCCTCCTCCTCCTCTTCTTTCTCTGCCCAGGTTGAACCAAGTGACAAATGAGGTCTTCACGGGGAGCTGTGACTCCCTGACTGTCCATCCTGTCAGGTCTCTGCTGAGTGACTTCTCTCCAGCCCTGCTGACTTCAGGGGGATGCACCAGCACTAGCCAAAAGGCTGGTCTGTCCCACAGAGAGGTCAGGCCAGGTCAGATCAGGTCAGCAGAAGGGGCTGATCAAAGGGAACTCTGTGACTGGGTTTAATTCCTCATTCAGTATAGCTTTGCTTGACTGTGATGGATGCAGCAATGCCAGCTCACTAGAAGACTTGCAGTGAGTTCCTTGCTGTGGAACAGCTTTCTCCCTCTCTTTATCCTTCTCCCAAACCTTGCAGCCTTGCGCAGCGTCTTTGATCACAGCCGGACAAAGCCAGCTCTGGAGATTCAGAGTTCTGCTCCTGACTGCCAGCATAGCCTGAAGCCTCTTGTTACTCCTCCCTGGGCTTTAGTTCCACTTCTGCAAGTTCAGGATAAAACCTCTCATGGATAATTGCAGTGACAACGGTTCTTGAAATACCAGGGTGCTGTCTGTGCATTTCGGTGTCTCCTCCTCCACAGTACAGCCCTTTTCCCCTTTTGCTTTCCAGCCTGTGGGTGGGTAGGAAAGATTTAGATACTAAGAAATGCTCAGCAGCGGGGAAAGAGCAGGACATTAAGTGCACTCCATTCTACCACACTTGTTTTTTTTCAGCTAATGTAACACACGCATTGTCCATGCATTGTTTGGTAACAGGCTGGGCAGCCTTTGCTTGCAAAATGTTATACTGTAGGTCCTACACTAATTATATGAATTCCAGTTGTTCCTTCCCCCAGGTTGACCCTGAGTTTTGCTTTCACTGGCAGAGGAGCAGAGGTTTGAAAGACAAGGTTTTTACTAAAAAGCAGATGTGCTGAAGCAGAGCTCCTCTGTAGTTCCTGACAGTTCCCACTTCAGTTGTCCTTGGATGTCCCGTGTCCATTAAGTAGCCAGTGACATTTGTCCAGGAGGCCAGTTTACGCACCATGTCACTGGAGGTGCTCAGCAGGACACTTCTTCTGGCATTGTAAAGTCTCAAAACTGGAGAAGACACCAAATCTGCAGAGATCCTGACTGTTGTCAGACAGGGAACACGCACCTAGTCAGCGACTGCCCAGCTGTTTTGTGTGACCTCCTCTCTACCAAGTCATTAAGGAATTTAGGTAGCAAGTTGCCAAGACACAGATATCTGTGGCAACTCACATGGGCAATCCCACAGCAGTACTGGTCTTTCCAACATGGAGTCAAAGGTGAGGGCACGAGTGCTCACTTGCACATATAGCTCCCTAAGCACAGATCATTTGGTTGTTGTTATCTTCGCTTGACCTGTACTTGATCTGAAACAGTCAGATCATCTCCAAACTGAGCTCTCAAAATGCAGCTGTTAACTCAGAGACTATTGATCCATGCATCAAAATCCAGGGGTCTTGGATTTGACCCTCAGCCACTCACATTCAGTAATACACTAGTTTTCTTTGGACTTTGCTGGATCTTAGCATGCTACCCCTTCGCCCACCATGGAAACAAAACTACAACCAAAGTAAAATGAATCTGCTCCTCACGACCAGCAGGACAGATGGTATGGCCCCAAGTACCAGACGCTACGTCCATCTGGGCAAGATGTGCAAGATGGTCTTTCAACATTGTTCTCCGGACAGATGGTATGGCCCCAAGTACCAGTACCCTTGCTCTCAGACATCTAACAGGAGGGCAGAAAGCACTGGAAAGGATTGCTTGGAATTCGTGGGAGTCTCCAGTACTGGATTTTTTTTAAGAACCTATTAGAAAACATATGTCAAGAGCAGGTTGCAGAGAGATGATCCCAGTTTGTGAATGAGGAACAAACTAAATGCTTCTTGATATCCAGTCAGCCCTAACGTCTTTGATTCTGATCTCTCTCTCTTTCATGTGTGCTATCTCTGGTCATGTCTGTAGGACAGATATGAGAGTTGGATTAAACTAGATACTGGTAAGGGTGCCAGCATAGGTATTGCTCTGCTATGAAGCCATCTACAACACAGACATTTGAGATCAGCAACCAGAAAGTGAATGAAAAGTGAGATGGCGACTGTTCATTTGATTAACTGCTCTCTCTGTGGGTCCATGAGAGGTAAATCCAGAAAGCTGGCATAGAGAGGGATTAGCAGAAATGCGGTTATCGAAATGCAGAGATAAATGGAGTGAGCCTTCACAGGCCTGAGTTACTGAGTAGGGAGAGCAGCAGCTGAGAGCTAGGCTGTAAATCCTGAGAGATACCTGCCTGTTAATTAAATGACAGTCCTTGGAGGGGGAAGGAGGGGTTTGCCTCTCTCTCTGTCAAGGTGCAATTAAGGAAAGTCAGCGCTTTCAGATTAAGGTGTCATTTGGGGTCAGGAGGACGGGAAACCATCTCCTGTTAAACAAGGAAGAACTCTGCCAGCTAATGAGAGCATGTCACAGTCTCGGCTCAGGCATCACCAGACCGGCTCCAGGGGGGTAGCGCCTCTCAGGAAGGCCATAAGCAGGCTGTGTGCGCAGGGCTGGCACTGCCACGGCTTGTGTGCGCCGTCCTGCTTGCATTTGCACAGGGGCGTCCCTGTGATTGGCGTGAGGAGGGCTTATCTCCAGCAATGCCAAAGCAATCCGACCTGCCTCTCCTTGGATCAGTGTCTGGCGGAGGCTGTTGCTTTGTCCGTGCCCACCCGGTCCTTGCTCTCTGACTCACCCTGCCTTGGTGCGCACTTTCGCAAGCAGTAAATCCTCAATGCTCTTTGAAGCTTTTCCCTGGCTTTCCTTGGCAGCCGGTCCCTGAGGGT